TCCTCCTCCTCCTCCTCCTCCTCCTCCTCCTCCTGCTGTCTCCACAATCCCCCCTCCCTTCTATCACTGATGATGTTCCCTAGTTGGGTCATGAAACGTCTGCCAGGAATTGCAGGAGCCGGGATGGGTGTCTGGCAAAGGAGAGGAGCAGAGGTGGGTCTTTTCCCTGATTCCCTGATTCCCTTTTTTTTTTTAACCCTACAGCTCACAAGCCTTCGGACGACACCCACGGCCTTCAGCGGAGGCATCGCCAGGAGGAGCTGCAGCTGCAACAGCGCACATATGGGTGAGTCGGGAAGATGGTGGACCCTGGAGCGTCGTCATTTTAAAACTCCCGCATCCACGTTGGGGCCCACTGAGGCAAAGAGTTTCTCAAGCTGGGCCACGTGAAGATGGGTGGACGTCTGGCTGGGGCATTCTGGGAGTTGAAGTCCCCCCCCACCCCCCATCTTAAAGAGGCCCAGGTTGTGAAAACTCGACTAGATGATGTCCAAGGTCCCTTCCAAGTCTTCCTGTCTATCAGTCTAACTCCTACGAGTCCTCCCGGCTGCCATACAACCAGTTGGAGAGGATGCTGGGAGTTGTAGTTTAGAGGGAGACCGATGAGGATCTCGTTCCTGATCAAGAGGGATATATAGTATTGCCTTTCTTAAATAATAACAATAACATTATTATTATTATTAGTAGTAGTATTAGTAGTATTATTAGTAGTAATAATAGTAATAATAATAGTAATAATAATAGTAATAAATAGTAATAATAATAATAATAATAATACTGATAATACTAATAATATTAATATTACTACTACTACTACTACTACTACTACTACTAATAATAATAATAATAATAATAATAAAGTTGGGAGGGACCTTGGAGGTCATCTAGTCCAACCCCCTACTCAGGCGGGAAACCCTATACCATTTCAGACAAATGTCTGGTGCCTTCCCAAATTCTGGGACTACAGGACCCATTATTATTATTATTATTTTTTTATTATCATCACCCTAAGTCAGTGGGTCAAGATGATGTAGTAGATCACCGTTTACTGCCGGAGTAACCAGAGAGCGCTTTATTCTCTCTCAATTGTTCTCGCAAAATTTATGTACCAAGCTGTGTATTATCAACTCTGTGCGGCCTCTGGGAGTTTACAACTCTAATGGGACAATTTCTCTGCACACAGGTGGAAGGAATACCTGCCCAATATACCTTGGTGTGCCAACATCGACACAACGGCCACAATGGAACACAACATTACGTACTCCTTCCCTAAGGCAACGGCCTTTTTCGGACGTGGTACGACTGCGTAAGTGTTGGGGGCTGGAGGGGAGACCACTTAGAGATGCCAGGGGTGGTTGGAGAGAGGGAGAGAGCCTCCTGGAGAAGGCAAAAGCCCAGCACCTCAGGTTTTGTTTCCCATGTGGTCCCTAGGGATTGAACCCGAGAGAGAGAGAGAGAGAGAGAGAGAGAGAGAGAGAGAGAGAGAGAGAGAGAGAGAGAGAGAGAGAGAGAGAGAGAG